TTCTTGACAATAAGAGGCCATGGGGGTGGATCCCTTGACTGTGGTACGGAATTGGTGCTTGAGCTGCATGGCGCGAGCATGCTTGTTGTCGTGAAACAGATCATGAATTATCTTCCAGAGAGCAGAGGCAGAGGAGGCGGAGGTCAGAACCAGATCAGAGACTTCATCAGTAATAGTGGAAAGAATCCAGTCTTGGAGAATGGCGTCAAGTTGGTACCATTCATCATCATCATCTTTTGAGGTAGGGACAATAGACCCGTCAAGGTAGTCGTGGAGGGTGAACCGCCGGGCAAGGAGGAGGAATAAGTGGCTCCACTTCTTGTAATTTGGTTGAGAAAAACTGAGTTGAATAGGGACATGTAATTTGACATTAGAAACAGAGAAAGCCAGATGTGGAGATTTTTGGGTGGTAGATTGAGAGGTGATCTCGCTTTCAGCCATGGTAGAGAGAGGAGGGGTGGCCGGCCGTGCTAGAGAGAGGGAGAGTGGTGGCGGCGCTGGTGTCTCGGCGAGGGAGGAGGGAGGCCGAAAGTCAGAGAGGGAGAATTAGGGTTTTTGGTTAGGCTCCGATACCATGAAGAAGAATTATTTTCATTGATTAAATTGTGAGGAGAGTACATGTATATATACAAAAGTCTCAATCCTAATTAAGGTAGGAGAGACAATCTAGGAAACCTATACAAATATGGTAACAATAATAATACAATAATATTAAATATATTATATATATTTAACAGCAACCACAGATGGAAGCCCTAGTTCTGAGGAATAAGTTATAAACTTTTTTTATGTTAATGTTAATATGTAATTAGTTTTTTAGGTGAGCGATATATAAGCTCCTTTGGGGGTTTCTTTACGGTTCTTTACATCGTCGCTCTTTTTGAACGTCAGGATATTAAATTTAGTTTTTTGTCAGTTCGTGTATTACTCATTTTACAATATTTAAATAACAACTATATTTTTAGATCTTTTATTTCATTATTTCCTTTAACAATTACACATTTACATTTTTTAAAATTTAAAAAAAATAGGGGGGGGGGGGGTTGTCGAAACTGGCTAGTACGATACCAGAACCGCCGGTACGGGTACCGGAAGTCCGGAACCGGTACCGTCTGGTCCGGTCACGGTAACGGTTCTTAGGGGTGGCGATACCAGAACCGGAATCGTACCGTGTCCACCTAGCCCTTAGACTCCTTAGCACGTCCAGCGTTGGGTCAATCATTTTTGAAAGGGAGATATACCTAAATAGGACCAAAACATACACAATATATCTAAATAAAACTATAAACTTAAACTCCCCAAAATTTTTTACACGGCAACCCAAAATGCCCCTGCTTTAATCAGAAATCCAGAATTAGCATTTTGAAGATGGATGAGGAAGTAAAGGCTAGCAAATCAGCAACATTAAATTGGAGTTGTTTTGGATCGGCGTCCTCAGGCTACAGTCATCTGCCTTTTGCAAAAGAAAGAAAAAGAAGTACATTTCCTTTGAGATGAAAAAGAAAGAGAGGCGAAATTAAGATGAGGACCTCCATGAAAGGCTCCTCCACCCACCCACACCCACATGGGGTAAACCTAAATAGAACTAAAAAATAAAAAATATATTTAAATAGGAGTTCAAAACATAAATTCATTAAACATGAATAAATTTGCACCGCCATCCTCAAAATACCCCTCGACATTTGTTACGCGGAATTTTTTCCTCATTAATCGCGCTACATGTCCACAAAACCACAAGTACTTGACCACATGTCGTCATGTCCACATGTCACATTACCACAATGCGAATTCTTATTTTGGAAATAAAAACATGAAGCTTATATATTAGTACTTTCTCTAAAGTAGGAGTAAAATAATGAAAATATAACAAAATAGAAGTTTCATATTTTTATTCCTAAAATTTGAGTTAAAATACATTTACATTACCAAGCTTGACCATGTACATTACAACAAATGCCTGTGTAGAGTGCCATATTACTGCAATACGAACTCATATTTAGGGAATAAAAACATGGAACTCATATCATATTTTGATACTTTCTTTATGTTTTATTTCTTTAAGCATTAAAGTGATTAAACACAAAAAGTAAATGAGTCGAAAAAAATGAAATACAAGAAAGTTAATAACTGTATGTACAATGAAATAGAGATGAAAAAAGGAGGAACTTATATGCAAAAGAAGAGGAATGAGAGGGAAAGAAAACAAAAAAAACAAAAACAAAAAAAAAGGACGAGAGGAAACAAAAAAAACACAAAAAAAAAACAAAAAGAAAGAGAAGGCAGCAGAGTTAACACAAAAGAAAACAAAAAAAGAAACAAAAATACAAGAGATGAATTGTAATTGAAAACAAGAAACAAGAAATAAAAAGTCTCCATAACGGAAAACAAGAGAAAAGAGAGGAGGTCAACAAAGTTAACACAGAAAAGAGGGTAGGGGCAACAACGGCATAACTATAATATTTGGTCCTATTTTGAGGATAAAAACATACAAGTCCTATTTTGAACATAACTTCTATGTTTTAGTCCTATTTAAATGTCTTCTTTTCTAAATCAAACCCTTCAAACCCGTTGGTGCTTTGTCTTGGACCGGTGCTCATCCGGTTGGGGCTCTGTCTTGGACCGGTGCTCATCCCTTCTTAACTCTGTCTTTTGGGGGAACATTTACGCATTCCTTTTCCAAATTCCAATACAATCCGTCTACAATGTCTTCCTCAATTTTCTTCTGCAGTCACCAACTCCACAGCGGCAACACCCACATTCATTCCCTCAGGAAACACTGTGCGTCGCTTTCTTCTTCGTCGCCAAATTGGCCTCCATCCCCTTTCCACGTGAAATCCCATTTCGGAAGAGCCCTTCGCGTCAGTGCCACAGCTCCAGATCATCGAGCTACCAGAAAACGAATACAGGTATTCCTTTTCTGCATATGGGTTCTTTTTTTTTTTTCTTAAATTCCACAGTATTTAATCATTAATCTATTGTCTATATATTTCTAAATTTTGTTGTTCATGGTGATTTTGATAGACCGTGTACGGCAGAGAAGAAAATTCTAATAAATTGGCTGATGAAGTTGATGAGGAGACGGGGCTTGCAGGGATAACACTTTTTTCTCCTTGTAAGGTGAGTAAAGTGACACTTATATTATACATTTAGATGTAGCATGATAGTTGTACATCCATCATTTGCAAAACAAGTGATTTTCTGCAGCAAAATGAGCCTTTGTTACAAGTAAAATGACAAACAAAGTTGTGCATAAAGTTTTTTTTATAGTTGTGGAAATTGTTGGTTGAAATAGTTGTTGACAAACAAATTTGTGGATAAAGTTTTTTGTATAGTTGGGGAAATGAATGAAGATTACAATTTTAAGGGTATTATTATAGTCGTATACTATATTATACTATCTTATGTATATTATTATAAAAATGTATGTAAGTTTTTTGAATATTATAATTTTGGAAGTTCAACCACTTCATCTGTTTCAGCCTTAATTTCAACAACTTTCAATTGCAGACAATTCAACGCAATGCACCTTTACCAAACTGACTCTTTGATCTATCCATCATTTTGTCTTTATATGGCATATATGATGTAATCATATATACTTCATTCTCTCACTGTTGTGTTTGTGTCTCTGTGTACTATATAGATAAATGTTTTCTTGAGAATAACAGGCAAAAGGGAAGACGGGTTTCATGATTTAGCATCCCTGTTTCATGTAAGTACGTTTCTAGTGTATTTTTCTTGATGGAAACATAATTAAGATGAAAGTCTCCTTTGAGTAGATTTTTAGGAAATTGACGTGGCCACCAATACACAATGGTTACAGGAAATCTAATAGAACCAAAAAAGACATCCTAAACAACAATAAAGCACAATAAAACCCCATCTTTGGTGGGGTGTGGGGGTCAAGATTCACGCAGTCTTACCCGTGTACAAAAGAGAGAAACTCTGTTTGCCAGACCATTGATGCATGCTGCATTTACTACCCAAAACTTGGTAGAAAACAAGAAGAGAAGGATGTCTACCGTTCCATTTTGATTTTACCCATTATTTACCCGAAGCTAAAAACAGCTTCAATAATGACTTTTTTACCTCCTTGGAAATACCTTGTTGAATGATTACTAGTTTTCATCATCATTAACATCAAACATAGTGTACCAATCAGATTGAATCGGTATAAGTATGTTGTCCTTATTTCTATTGATGGATATAGACTTATAGAGGTTATTTGCAAAGCGGCATTGGGTTCAAATGACTAGTTTAACCAATCAATATATTGTTCTCAACTTTATTTCTCTTTTGGTAAAATGGGGAGTGCTTGTATGTTGTGTGATCTTCTATGGATAGTTAAAACTATAATGACATTTTGGTATGCCCTTTTGTTACTTCAGGTAATTAGTCTAGGAGATAAAATAAAATTTTCTGTGTTGGAAACAATGACGAAAGACCATTTATCGACTAATGTTCCCGGTGTCCCCCTTGATGAGAGAAATTTGGTAAAGCAATTTTTTCATTCATGTTTAATGTTTTTATGATTTTAAACCCCATTGAATTTGAACTTTGCTACTTTGGCACTTTGCAGATACTTAAGGCTCTCAATCTTTACAGGGAAAAGACTGGAAGTAACAAGTACTTTTGGGTAAAATTTTCAAACGTTAAAATGAACTATTGATGTGACAATATTTTTTTAGATCTATCTTTTGGTGCTTAACCTTACAGCATACTGAGTTTGATAAAGTGAACAGATTGATCTTGATAAGAAAGTGCCTACTGGGGCTGGTCTAGGTGGTGGAAGCAGTAATGCTGCAACTGCTTTGTGGGCAGCAAATCAATTCAATGGGTGTATTGCCACTGAAAAGGATCTCCAAGAATGGTCTAGTGAGATTGGCTCGGATGTACCTTTCTTTTTCTCTCATGGAGCAGCCTACTGTACTGGTCGAGGTGAGGTACGCCTTTAATTTAGGAAAAGCATTTTCACATTCTTTTCTAAAAACCATTACATTAGTTTGTGGTCTTCAACTTCCTCCCTCCATCATTTCCATTTCCATGTGGAAATGTTCTTTATCCAGGCTGTTCAAGATATCCCATCACCTATACCATTTGAAATCCCAATGGTTCTCATAAAGCCAAAAGAAGCATGCTCCACTGCCGAAGTTTACAAGGTGATTCAATAAAAATATTTGAAAAAATAGATTTCAGTTTCTGAATCTATAATTGATTTGAAAATAAGATTTCATTATACAGCGTCTTCAATTGGAGCGGACAAGCAAGGTTAATCCGTTAAGCTTGCTGGAGAGTATTTCAAATAATGGATTATCTCAGGATGTTTGTATCAATGATTTAGGTATAAAATGGTGCTAATATAGTAAGTTTTCATACTATGGATTTATGTAGTGTTCCATTTTGGTCAATTAACCAAGATATTAGTGTAATTGCATAAACATTTCATGTTTGTGTCAATGATCTGAATGAAAAAGATGCTAATGTAAACATGGTATGGTTTTTCTATATTTTACTGAAAAATTAATTATTCGATATAGGTCGATTGACCAAAATAGTACTGTAACCGAACCCCATGTTTCTACGAATAAGGCTTAATCGTTGACCAAAACGGTACTGAAATTGCCCATTTTTGAAAAAACCCTTTAACTTCCACCCCAGAGAACATTTCATGTGAAAAAGCTCACTGGAAAAATATAAATACTGTACTTTCGGCACAAAACTGGATACAAATTTCTATTGCAGCCCATACCAGGACTTGTGCATTGGAAAAAAAACTAGACCATTAACGGCATTAAGCTAAGGTGACATAATATGCTCTTCATCTTACATCTTATGTGTGTACCTTTTTTAGAGTATCCTGCATTTGACGTACTCCCATCCCTGAAAAGATTAAAACAGCAAATGGTTGTTGCAAGTCAAGGAAAATATGATGCTATTTTCATGTCCGGTAGGTATGATCTCATCATACTTTGTCCATCTAAGAAAATTTCTGCTGCAAAGGGGGGGGGGGGTCATATTTCATAGAAAGGAGCTAATGTTCATGTAGTTTTCCTTAAAAAATCATAATATGATAAATTTAGTTAACCAAAGAAATAAATTTCAGAAAATAAGGAGGACTACATGTTTTTTATGAATGGTCCACACCCCCAACAGAGTTGGAATTGCACTGGGTTTGTTGTTGTTGTACGTGTCTTTTATGCATAGTACACTGACCAAACATGACTTTTTTGGGTCCGACGGAGTTCAAGTTTTAGAGATTGATTGAGATTCATTCGTTATCATAAACTCCTGTAACACCATTCAGATTATGCCTGATTTGAAGTACCTCAAAAGGCCTATAATATTGACTATTTAATTCAACTTCTTGAACTTAATGCATTCTTATCTTAGCATAGAGTTGTTATACTCATTTCCACTAATTATGATGCAGTGGAAGCACAATGGTAGGGATTGGTTCTCCTGATCCTCCACCGTTTGTATATGATGATGAAGAATACAATGATGTGTTCTTGTCAGGTATAAGTTACCATTGATATTTTTTTCCTTGTAGGAAAAATGTTAAAACTTTGATTAAATTGAATGGAGTTAGAAGGAAATATGTGCACAAACTAATCCTACCCCGGATGCTTTCAATATAATCTGGTCAAGCCACTATGGTGCAGGGCTTGTTTTTTCACCTTAGTTTTAACTATAGTCTGGTGTTTGGAACTGGAGTATGGAGTTTGAAACTTGGAGTCTATATTGGTAACTGGTATAAAAAGTTGAAAAGAATAGGCCATAGTGGTAAGACATCTCTCCTATTCCGAGCCCTAAAACGAGTTAGACACTAGGTTAACATGTTTAGAACAGAGCTCTTTGCAGGAAGTCGCACGTCCAATTGATAAAAGTAGGCACCCACCCTCACAATGGTCCTTTGTTTAATAATTTACATATATGGGAGTTTCTGTGTACAAGCTTACCAGCCCAAGTGAAAACTCCCTGCCTCCCAAAAACCTTTCCCACTTTTATTTTTTTGTACTCCATATGATCCAAAATAATTTGTTCACTTCTCTTTCCGTTTTTAGAAAATAATGTGTGGTCGAAAATATTTCTCTTCTAAACAATTTTTTACCACTCACTTTTCACTAATCAATATTGTTTCAACACATCTTCTCGATGAAGTCAATGATCAAATTAGTTTGGGACGGAGGGAGTACATAATCTAACTATTCCTTGGGAAGAAAGGCTGTGTTTTTAGCAGGGAGTCTGGTTTGTCCATTATTGATACAATTTGATAATAATTGGTCTTATTGAATATGGAAGGATACACCCTTATAATAGTGATTACAAGAAAGAGTTCTAATCATAGTAGGATAAGAACTATATAAACAATACAATAAGAAAATAATAAAACAAGGAAGATAATATATAATAATATTATATTTCCTAATGCATCTATTATTCTTAATATTTTCCCGCAAGCTGATCATCTGTAACGAGGAGCAGCTTAGAGCATAGGTACTGGAATTGAGCCGACAGAAGCAGTTTTGTGAGGATAGCCTCTAGAAGTAGAGAGCTAGATCTTTGTTGCATGACAAAAAAACTTGAGATTACGTTTGTTGAGTTTTTTTCTCGGTGAGAATGTTGGTGATTGGAGTGAGAGCAAGGAATTTTTTTATCTTTTTGGTCCGTTCTTTGCTTCTCTATCGCTTTTCATGCTCTGCATCTCTATAAAACACAAACAAATGCAACTTTTTTGTTCTTCAATCACACATGATTTTTTGGAAGAGAGAGATAATAGATTTTTTTGAGTGAGAAAGATAGGGATAATGGATGGCGATTGTTAGGCACTCTCGTTGAGATCGGTCCGTGACGCCATGTTTTCAAGAAGTCGACTGACGTGAATAAAGACCGACGATGTGCTCGGTCGAAAAAAGAAGGGCTAGGTTTTTTAGAACCTTAGCTCTGATATCATGATACAATTTGATAATAATGGGCCTAATTGAATATTGAAGGATACACCCTTATATGTCGGGATTACAAGAGAGAGTTCTAAATTTCTAATCATAGTAGGATAAGAACTATATTAATAATACAATAAGGCAATAACATAATAAGGAAGATAATAAATAATAATATTCTATTTCCTAATACATCTATTATTTCTAATAATAATAATTATTTTTTACCTAAAAAACATTGTGAGATAATGGATATATTTCCCTGTGCACCCATGTAGTTCTAGCCATCTATGATCAAATGCGAACACATGTTTTTTTCGCTCAATGTGTGCATTCATAATGACTCATTTATTTCCCTGTGCACCTCTGCAAATGCAGGAGCCAACTTTATTACCCGCGCATCTAATCAGTGGTATACAGAACCCTCTTCAGCGTTTCCAAGTGTATTGTCTATGGGGTGTTGAAAAGCCTTCGATGGAGGTATCGTCTATGCAAAGTCTACTACCCAACAAAAGAGGAACATCATTTTATTTAATCGTTTTTATAATGAAATTAAATCTTTATCAAAAGGAGGAAAATGCACCAGGGAGGGGACACAAAACCCATGCACATTGAATAGGGAGAGGACATTTGTTTGCAAACCCTGATGCACATTGTTTCGGGGAGCAGACACTAAGCCGTTAGTGAAGTTTCCCGAAAACCGGGAAGGAGCCATATAAATATATATCAAATCAATAGTTATCGAAAAATCGAATAAGACCAAACTGAATGTTGGTTTAGTATTTGGAAGGTAAACAGTTAATTTAATATGAAGCAGAGTCTTTCAACATATAAAAGTAATACTCGGGTAGTTTATTTCTCTAAATATAATGTCGTATAGCAAATAATACATCCATTGAGATTTGAAACAAAAGTACTTCAATAAATATTTTCAGGAATGTATTTTTATCAGGACATGCCTTTGTATTTTTTTTTGACAATAACCATGGATTTGAGGATTTAAAGCAGTTTGACATAACATGTCCCCCCCACAAAAGTTGCAAGTTGCACTTTCATTCGCTGGCTGGTAGAGAGATTTTTCTCCTTTTTGAAATCGTGAAGAATGAAGAAGGAACACTCTTCTTCCTATTAGTGCATCATTCTCTGATCTTCAGGGGTTGGGGTAGCATTTCTATACTGTATTATTCATGCACACCAAATTTCAAAAGAAAAATAAAAAGAACCAAAGGCAGTACATACACAAATACTACCAATTAGAATAAGCCACAAACATGTAATCGAAGTGCAGACAATACATAAAGACTTTTAGAACAACATGAAGGTTCAAAGATGGATGGACGTTCAAGTGTAAACTACGTACGGAGTATATTTTTAGAGTGAAAATTCTTCATTCTTATATACGGAGTATACTCTAGCAAAATGAAAAACTGAAAAGGAAGAAAAGATGGATGAATGAGAAAGAAATATACCTGGCCGGCTGGCCTTAGATTAGTTGGTGCTTGGTCGACTTGCGTCAGGATGCGGGCTATCTATTTGAGTAAACTACTTCACACGTAATAGATTTATTGTCACCGTTACTATTTTGATCTCTAAATGTTAGTCAATTCATCTGATAAGATAAAATAAAATATTCTTGTCACTTCTTGTTTGTAAAACTTTTGATAGATTTTTTAATTATTTAGTTTATAGTTTTTATTTCTATTATTTATAAACAAAAATAGTTTTGAAAGAGATGAGATTTTGCACATAATTCGAGAGACTATAATTTTGTGACGGGAAGAGTATATAAACTTAGAATAATAGTATTTGAATGAGAAATTATATTACCTCCGTTTCATTATACTCCGTACTTGTCTATTTTGACCTTTTCAAATTAAATTGGACAAACTTTAAACTCTAATAACTTTCTATTTGTGTTTGAGATTAGTACAATGAAATACAATTTTGAAAATTATCAACAAGATAAATCTAATTAAATCATTTTTATATTAATATACTTTATAATTTTTGTTTAATTGAAGCTCAAAGTTCATCATGTTTGACTTCAGAAAGTCAACCTAAAAAAATATACTGGGAAAGAGGTAGTACTTCGATTAAAATAAATGAAATGAATGGAAAATGACTTTGCAAAAGAATATACTCCTTCCATCCCAATTTAAATTGCCTGTTTTGGTTTTTGATATTTGACTCAAGTTATTTTCAAATCATTTTATATGAAAAACGGTGTAGAATATAAAAATAAAAATTACATATTTAAAAAGGGGAATTGACCTAAATAGTACTCCCTCCGTCCCGTTTTAAATTGCTCATTTTGACTTTGAGGCATATTTAAGGAAGAGAAAAAATAGAGTTGACTTTACGAAATTGATATTACTTTTTAGGAGGGATGATGATGAATGAAAAAATAAGGTGGAGAAGAATGACTTATTTTAAGGATAGTTTAGGCATTTTACTCTTAAAAGTTTACAATAACAAGAAACATGCAACTTATTTTGGGAGGAAGAAAAAAGAAAACAAGCAATTTAAAATGGGAGAGAGGGAGTACTAAAACATAGTGATTTTCCCAATGTAGTACCACTGGTCATTGTTCAAGTAAATGTTCACCGCTACTCGACATTATTCAAACTAAATGTCCACCATCACTGAACATTGTTCCCGCCACTAAACATTGTCCAAGTACGAGTACTATTTAGAGTAAAATAAATGTAAGTACTACATTGGGAATTTTCATATGTTTTAGTACTATTTAATGCAAATTTAACATTTAAAAACTAATTAAAAGATCTACAAAACTAGTGGTGACATGACCATATTAATTTATCAAATGACTAACGAAAATAGGCACACAAAGTGAATGAAATTTGACTCCTTGAATAGTAAACAGACAATTTAATTTTGGACAGAGGCAGTATTTTTTAAGAATGACTTAAATATAAAATATCTTAAATGGATCAAAAATAAAAATCACTCATTTGAAGGGACAAAAAAAATATACGGAGTACTCAGTATCCTTTACTATAATATTTGAGACTCGCTTCATGAGAGTTCGACAAGTGGACAACACACGTGCTCATTTTTTGACACGTCAACATGCCATGTCATTTTTAGAGTATGTGTTGATAATTAGTTTTTATTGTTACATTTTTATTAGTTATAATTACTCATTTTATAACTTTAATAAAAAAATTATGCGTTTTCTATTTTATGCCTTAGTTACCTTATTAAAAATTTGTATTTTTGCCATAACTAAAGCTAATTTGGGGTGATACTTTAATTTAAAATTTTAAATATAAGTTTTAATTACGATTAAATCCAAATTTTTGCCTTATTTAAAGTCATGTTTTATATTTTACCAAGTTATAAAAATATAAGTTTAAATATAATTTCTTGCATTGTGCAATTTTCATAATTTTTACTCGATGATTTTAATAATTCTTGCTTTACGTAATTTGAGTAATTTTTACTTGATGATTTTAGGAATTCTTTCCTTATGTGATTTTTGTTATTCTATAATTTATTTTTTTAAAGATTATTAACTACTCCCTCCGCCCACCTAAGATCTTCTCCTTTTGATTTTTTGTGATTTTTAAGGAGACTTGATAAAAATAAAAGTTTACCAAAATACTCTTAATAAAAATAGGTGGAATGTTCTAAATGAGATGGTAGAGGTGTAATAAATAAAGTAAGTAGGGATAATTGTGATGTTTTAAATGCTGAAAAAGATGATGAGAAGATCTATGAGACAGAAATAAAAAGGCTAATGAGAATAATAAATGAATTTCTTGACTAACACACCAATTTAAAATATGATAATTATAATTATTTTAATAGATAAATAATATTATAGTACAAAGAGAGAAATAAAAATATAATCTTGAAACTAAATTCTTTAATTGGTCTCTAATTATATGAGGTTTTTCATATTTAGTCTCTAATGCTAAGATATTATATAAATGGTCTTCAATTTTGGAAAATTATTTCATAAATAGTCATTTACGACAAGAGTGATGCATACATGGTCCTAAGGTCAACATTTAAAATGTGGAGTTTCTCACATTTTTCATGTGGTCCTTAAGACAATATGACAAAATATTTTTCTGCATATAGTTCCTGAAAGATATATTATGGAATAATTTTCAAAAATTGAGAACGATTTATGTAATTCCTTAGTATTAGGGACTAAATATAGAAACCACCTGTTATTAAAGATTGTGTATGTAGTTACTCTATTTCTTCATAATCATATATTTATAATTTAAAAGGAAAAAAACTAAACTAAGAGTAAAACATATAAAATATATCAAAATTGGAGTTGCATGTTTTTACTCTCAAAATAGAACTTAAAATGTATTTACAATGTCAATCATGCCCATGTATTATATTTAAAATGTGAAATGTCTATATACAGTGTCACATTGACACAATGCGAACTCATATTTTGGGATAAAAATATGAAACTTCTATTTTTAGTAATTTTTCTATGTTTTACTTCTATTTAAGGTGATTTGTTTAGTTTAAAATACCAAATGATAACAGAATTTTGAATAGAATATATAGAAACAATTTCAATGATTCATGTGGTTTGAAAAATAGTTAAGAATGCCCTATTGCCCTGTCTATTTTCAAAACTTATTCATAAAATCCTAATCATTTGAAAAAGTTGCACAAATATCCCATTAGACTATTTTTTGTTCATTTTTTCCGAAGAAGAAGGGGCATTGATGATAATTTTTCAAACCACAAGGGTGCGAGAGACCATTATCATAATTTTTATTCATTTTTATTTCTCTTTATAAAATATTCTTTATAGTGCTTCTAAATTCTAATTAGTTTAGGGGAAACAACTTAAAGAAAAAATCAACATATAAATCATATAAATTATATGTCTCAGGTTAAACATTTTTTTGTCAAATAAAATAAAAAATAGAAAAAAGATATAAAATAAAAGAAAAATAAAAAAAAAGTGAGTAAGAAAGTGAAGTTCTATCCAAAGCAAACCAAATTTATTTGTTTGTTTTTAGGAGATTGTAGTTTTCCTAAAAAACAATTTCGGGTCTGTTTGGGAAGCTTTATAGATTAGTATTAGCACTTTGAAAAGACTATCAACGGACAACGTTTGGCATTAGCATTTTAAAACTCGATCTGCACCGTTAAAATTTTATCTTCAATGCTAAAACTAATCAAAAACAGACCCTTCATACTACTTATGTAACCAAACATAGGAAATGAGACTTAGGGGGTGTTTGTTTTTAGGTTAGAAGAGCTTCTAACCACTTATGTCTGCACCGTGCAGACGCGGGCAGACATTAGGGACGTGCAGACTCTTTGTTTTTAGAAGACAAACCACTTAAAAACGTCTTCCAAACATCTTCCTCAAGCAGACATAAACACCAACAGCTTCTCACGTCTTCTCATCAATTACGATCCATCTCAAAACCTACCCATCCGCCTTCCTTCTCGATCTCTCCGTCGAGTCTTGTGCACGACCCTCTACCGCTAGAGTCTCCACCACCGCCGGCGACTCCTCTCTCCCTCCGCCGGCTTCTCCTCATCCTCCCCAGCTGTCCGTCGTCCATCTCCCTCCTCCCCAGCCGTCTGTCTGCCTCCGTTGGCTTGCCCTCATCCCCGCCGGTGACGCCTCCTCCTTCTCCTCATCCCCGCCGGCTTCTTCTCATCCCTTCCGTCCATCTCCTCTGATTCTCATCCCTGCAGCAACAAGTATGTTTTTTTCACTTTTTTTGTTTTTTTAATCTCTTTTTTTTAACAATTTTTTTTACATTTTTTGTTGTTAACAATTTGTAGAATAGTCAATGTTTTTTTACATTTCTTTATATTCTCATCCCTGCCGACAACAATTTGTACAATTTTTTACAATGTTTTTTTTACATTTTTTTAATCTCTTTTTTATACAATAGTCAATAATTTGTTGTTAATTGTTGCTAAAGATTGTTGTAGTAGTTCAATTGCCGAGCATTTCATGCAAAGTGCGGAATAAATTATTTGAAAAGTGCGGAATAAATCATTTGAAAAATTGTGGAGCACTTAATGCAAAGTTCAAAATAAATTATTTGAAAAATTGTTATTTTAAAAAATGTTATTGTTGTTATTTCAGTGTTTTAAAACTCTTGATTAAATTTAAATGTTAAAAAATATTGATTGCTTTAAAATTTTGTTTATTTTTAATTTTAGTTTATTTAAGCAATCTGCAGAAGTTAAAAAACAAACAGTCTTCCTCTTGCAGACTGCAGACCTTTGGTCCACCTCTTCTCTTGCAGATGTGTGCAGATGTGGTCTGCAGACTGCTGACCTTTTTCTACAGAAAAAACAAACAGCACCTTAGATTTTTTGGAAATATATTTTTCTCCCAACAAAACAGACTCCGAGCTTCACGAACACGATATTTGGGGGAGATTAGGCACAACATGTGGTGGAGTTGTGGTGTCACTTTTTGACAAGTAATATGTGACGTTCGAGGTGAGAAATAAAAAAAAACTTTACATGTAAAAAACATTAAAAAAATCTGGATTCCAAAAGAATCGAATTCTTATTTCCTTTTTAAATTCTTCTATCTTCAACTGCCATTTTATTCATATTTCAACAAAATGATAATTACTTTTTTAAAACTTATTAATTAAAATTTATCATTTACAATAATTTTGACCGAATTTCAATTAATCTTAAAAATTACACATGAATTTTGGTGTTTAAATATTTTTTTAGTAAAATAATATAGTGATATCAATTATATATCCAATCATACTACATCGAAATATCTATAAGTTATGTTATTTTATTGAATTATTGAAAAAAAATTTTAAAAAAATTTTAAAAATTAAAAGTACCAAATTTTAACTAATTTTACTAAAATATTTATTAGTGTATGAATTTTTTTAAATAAATACTCTCTTCATCTTCTTCCATTACGATGTTTGAATGAAATTAGTTTTGATTGATTTTATATGATAATTTGTGTAAAATTAAATAACAAAAAGTACATATTCAAAACCAGATCAAAAGTTTTACAAAATTAAAGATGACATTATTGTATTATTTTCACACACGATCAGTATCAAATCTCTATTATAGAGCTCCATATGGTTTGTGGGAAGGGGATGTGGTGAGAGTAGTTCTTTGCTTGGTTTGTAGAATCAGAGGACTCGAGCAGTTACAAAGAAAATAAACATTCATCCATAGAAAATAAAATTATTTTTTCTAAAAAATGATTTCTTCCACTTATGTAACCAAATGTAGGAAATTAGATTCTCTAAAAAATAATTTTCTCTCAACAAAAAAACTCTGAAAGTCAGAATCCAATAGAACAATGTCTCTGAAGTATTATAAAATATAACAAAATTTTGTTCCACCCGTGCATGGCATGGGTAAAAATACTAGTTAAACCAAATTTAGAACTCCGTGTTAAAATCAAATGACACTTATATCGTTGGTGGAATAAAATAGTTTCTGCTTAGAATAATCTTTCTAATACTTGGAATCCATTTGATAACAACATTATAGGGCAGAGGCTCTTAGTGATTTTAGTGTCATTGGCTATTTTGTGTGATTGGGTTTATTTAGATTAGACAAGAATTTGAATAGACGTTGTCAAACGAGTTAGGAGGCACGGAATGTGCACTCGTTCAACGATATTACAAATTTATATCGGAGGTCTGGTAGCGGGGTCCAAGGGGCAGAGCCCATTTCTGGGGTCGGACAGCTTCAAAATTTTTTATTTTGGACGTTACTGCTTTATCTAAATCCTTCATATTTTCGTTAACGGAGTCTGAAACCCTAAAGAATTGAACGTACGGATAAACGCCAAAATTGACCCAAAAACCCGAAAAAAATTAACGGGTGAACACTTGCGTCCTTTAGCAAAACTCGGTTCTCTCCCCGTTGCGCAAACGTATGCTTCCTTTACGTGAACGTTCATGTCTGGTTGCCAAAATCTTCAACTCTATAAAAAAAGTCACTAGGAATGGTTTAGAAGATAATTCGAAAAACTTGTTCTTGATTAACGTCTTATCCAATTAAAGTATTTCAATATATCTCAAAATAACTTTGATCTGAAAGCGTATTCGCGATTCGTTAAGCTATCAAGCCATAATTCTTGTTTTTGTTCTTCAATTCTTCAACGCTACGAACAACGCTGCTTCGTAGCGTTCTTCCTCATAAATTTCTAACATAGGCAACATTTTGTAAAAGATATGTAATGACAATATTTAGTTTGACTATTTTTTCAAAATTGATTTAAGCCATTAATATTTAATACAAAATGCTAAAGCTTAAAAAACACTCTTCCAAAATGAGGTCTTAATCATTTTTTGTATCATAAAGAGATTAGGCAAACTAGTGTGAGATCATACTAGCACCAGTTTTGTAATTAATTTGATTGATTATGAAAATTTAAAACCGATACCATTACTATACTCCCTCCATTCGGAAGTTATATTCTAACTACCCCTTTCGGCTTGTCCGAAAAACATCTTTCTATTTCTCTAAATGACAAGTAAATCAACACTACATATGATATTTTATATTTTTTACCCATTTGAAATAAAATTGGACCATTTTGATGTTTACTCTCTTTAATTTCTTCAGCGTCTTTCCTCTTTTCTTCGGCATCTATTTCTCCATTTTAAGAGTATTACTTTCCTCCCATTTTTCTCAATTTCTCCTCTTCGTCTTTTCTCTTTCATCATCCGCTTCATTTACTAATGAAAGCGCTTCATTTACTAATGAAAGCACTTCCTCATCCTATTATTATTATTATTATTATTATTATTATTATTATTATTATTATTATTATTATTATTATTATGTTGAAGGAATTTGTAAATTAGTGTGCTGTTGTGTAGATAGAATTTACTTTATATTGTGTAATACAGTTGTACTGACCCGTGGGCCTTCTCTTGTAAAACCCTATGATGCTCTTCCCTATATAAGGGATTATCAATAAAGAATACACACATCTCCCACAACACATTATCATCACTGCGCTCTAGAGAAAAATCCTAATTTTTTTCATCTGGCTCTCCCGTTTCCTTTTGCGGTTCTCCGCTGAGCATCGCATAAGAAAAAAACCTCATCGCCGTCCTCCACTGCATCGCAGAGGAAAAGAAACCCCATCTGCGAATCAAATCGGAAGGATTAGGCCTGCCCACCACTACTCATCACGGCCCTCGTATCAGGCATGAATCGAGGTGAACTTGAGTGCTTAATAGATAGTGGGACTACCCATACCATCTTGCGAAATAGGCAACTATTTGTTAACTTGGTAGCCTATAATTCATCTGTGACAACAATGATTGGTTCGTCACATGTAATTCAAGGACGTGGTACTACCATTTTCTTACTCCCTAATGGTACATTGATTAGAGCCATAAATGCTCTATATGCACCTAGAGCTACTCGAACCTTGTTAAGTTTCAAAGACATCCGTGACAATGGTTTTCATGTTGAAACTCATTGTGAGAATGGTATTGAATACCTTTACATTACTTCTAATGAAAGCCGAAGAAAGCGCATCTTAGAGAAATTTAAGGGTAAGAGTAATGGACTGTATATCACTACAATTCGAATAATTGAATCTTATTCTATAAGTCATGATGACATAAGGGATACTGAACGATATAGACTTTGGCATGATCGACTAGGGCATCCTGGTCGTGACATATGTGTCTACCTTTCAATAAGTCAATTCCTTTCAATTTTATGCTCGATTTTATGTCTACCTTCTATTTTAGTTTATTGTGAATATGTGTTAAAGTTTGAAATGATTTGGATTAAGCTTTGATTATGTTAAATGTTGGATTGAGTATCTAATTTTCTCAAAAAATATATGAATTTGGCTTTTAGTTATGATTAAAAGTTTGTTTGATTTTGTTTTCAACCCATATGTGGCATGTTTCTGTTTGTTATGTTGTTATGTTGAATCCAAGTATTGTTTACATCTCTATTTGAGGTCAAACAGTGTAGTGAATTGTACTAGCTCGAGTGAGGCTCGAGGAAATGGATTTTCTTGATTCTATTTTTGCATTAGAGGGATGTATCTCTCTGCCTATAGCTGTGAAGAAAGAAATAGAGGCTGTATAAATTTGTGGTGGCACAGCTGGTTTGGAACAATGAGCTCTTGGTGCAAACTTCGGAGCTTTTGCAAAAGAGTCAACAGAAATTTAAATTTTAGCAGCCAATTTGGAATTTGATGGAGTGGACCTTGATAAAGTACTCTAAAAAAATTTACACGAGAGATAGAATAAGTATGTAAGGTAAGTGCTTAAGGCTAAGTGTTTAAGGCTTTGTTTAAATTAAAAAAAAATCCCAATCTCAATCTGGGCTTAGTGGGTATGACATATTCCTGGCGGCTCATGTTCAACCTCCAGCCAGTATGTTGTCTGCAATTGTAGAATCTACAGGAGGAAATGTAAGTCAAATTTTCAAGAAGCTCTTCTGCCTAGCCCCAGTCAGTTCCCAGATATTCTGTTTGACATAGTTAAAAACAAAACTTTAGGTAGTAATTGGGAGAGTGGAGAAGGTGAAAGACAAGGACAAGAGCATATTTGTGGCGTGTGAGGAGGACACCGACGAAGCACAGTTAGCAGCCCAGAAAGGGATACGTTGTTTCAGCAGCGAGTGGTTCATGAACTGCATTATGAAACAGCAGCTTGATATTGGAGCCTCTCAATTTGCAGTGAGCCTCTGATTCTATATTTGTATCAATCCCATGTTACAGATTATGTGTGTATATATAATTTGTCTCGATAAAATTAGTTTGCACTTTTGGTTTTGCTTGCAAAATTGACATCTGATCACTACTACAAAAAATTACTACTCAGTTTTTTAGAGTTCCTCTTTCTTAATCATTCTTATCCCCTTTAAGCTTCTTCTAAACGAAAAAGAGTCTCAAGTCTCATTCTCTATTTTGTTTTACGAGTATCAAACAGTAATGAAAAGATACAAATAATTAAAAGTTATTGTCAATTTTGAATGGTATGAGTGTCACTTTGACACATGACCTTAAGACAAACCAAAAAACAAAAAGCTAATGAGTTCCATTTTGGTTTTCTTGTGATGGTTGAAGCATTAGTCACATTCTCTTATTTTGTTAAAACACATTAGTCACATTCATTACCATTAACTGATGCTCAGGGAATTGATGTGACTCAATTGCTATGGTACTTGTGTGTTTGTTTCCAAGATATCCTTGACCTAGCCAAGTTATGGCCGCTGCACTTACCATCATCAAACACGTTGGTCACTTGGAAGGAATCAAGGTATGATTTTACCTACTCTATTACCTCCCCGTGTTTCTAATCTTGTTTTTTTCTCAAGCTCCAATGCCATTTTGTTCTATTGGCTTCTAGATGCACAGTTTAATATAAGCATATAATAGATTTTGTTTTACTTGATTGAGGTCTTAACTTATCCTAGCCATTAATGATGATGTATCCAATACTATCTAATACTACAAATGCAATTGTCCAGGCCAGGTGGTCTATGTTGGAGATGGAAACAACATTGTGCATTCTTGGTTGCTGTTGGCAACTATCATTGTTACTTGTTGGAAAAATATCATAGATTTTGATGATGATGTATTTAGAATGTAATAGGGACTTTAGGTCTCCCCCAATATTCAATGTAATCTTTCTTTTTAGAAATATTGTTAAAACCAAGTTCTTGAAATTTCCAATAAGGTTATGATATCTCTTTAAGCGTTTTGATGCCAGAAGACTTAATCAAATTCAGTGATATGGAAATTGGATATCTTAATCGGAAATGCTAGAGACAAGTAAGGATTTCTCAAG